AACACCAACAGAACTTAAAAACATAGTTTTAAATGAAGAAAGAATGAGAATGAGAATTATCAAGTAATACTATTTAAATAAATTTATTTTAAAAACACCATATAAGGATACACATATATCCAAGGATACATATTATACACATCAGATAAGATGCTAATGGGAGTGGGATGGGAATGGGAGAAGAGACACAACATGACAATAACAGAAAACAATAAAAATACCAGGGACCCTTGCAATGTCAATATAATGGTATTGTAAAAATAATTTTTTATTTGAAATTTTTATTTGAAAGAAAAAATTAAAAATTTATAGGGACAGAAGGAAGTTTCCTTATGTTTCAATTCTCCTTTCCAAACTGCCTGGCATTTGATTCATTTGACTTATCAGGTAAGGAAGGAAGCTAGTGGGGAGGGAGGGAGGAGGCCAACATGTATAAATGTGGCCTACTATATTGTATCTTGCACCACTTTGACCATGGCTTTTGTAATACTGCTGAAATTACACATATACACAGCTATCTTTTCACCCTGAAAGTTATATCCTTTAGGGCAGGACTGTATCATATTCATCCTCATGAACCCAAAACCCAACCCAGTGGATGGTCCAAATGATACATTCCATAAATGCTGACTGGCTGACTGGTTGGTTGGTTGGTTGCTAGACTGGATGGAAAATAAATCAAAATTAGAATCCAACTGAATTGTTTTCACCTCACGTGTACCCGTAGGTCTTGACTATTATTGTGCAGCCAATTGAATGTTTAAAAAATTATCATCAAAAATGGGTAGATGTCCTCCTAACATAATTTATTATAGCATAAAAATGCATATCCTTTGGATGACAGACTCATGGACAAACATCACAAAATTCAAGTTGACTCTACAGCTGCAAGGAGAAATTAGAGACACTACTGCAAAATCAGAATTATGAATGATAAAATTAACTTTAGGTGGAGGGAAAAATTAAAGATGCAGCACAAGCCAGGTAATCCCTATTGCCTGGCAGTGCCGGGTGCCTCACACCTTTGAAACTACTGATTCTACACTATGTGCATAATACACAAAAAACCTTCTTATTAGCCATGCTCAGTGGCTGACACCATTATCCCAACACTTTGGAAGGCTGAGGAAGGTGGATTGCTTGAGCCCAGGAGTTCAAGGCCAGCCTGGGCAACATAATTAGGCCCCGTCTCTATTTTCTTTTTTTTTTATTTATTTTTTATTTTTTATTTTTATTTATTTATTTATTTATTACTCTATAAAACAAATGTTTATGTTTGCATTTGACAGATGAGCTAGAAAACTTGGTAAGGTCATACAAGTAGAAAGTAGTGGCAATATGGGGATTGAGGTCCAGTTAGGCCTAATTCTTTTTTTTTTTTTTTTAAAGAAGAAGAAAGAAAGAAAGAAAAAGGAGGAATTAAAAAAAAAAGAATGAAGGAGAGGAAGAGAGAGGAAGAGGAAGAGGGAGAGAGAACAGGGGTGTTGCTTTATTGCCCGGGCTAGAATGCGGTCTAAAAATGGGTATGCCTATAATTGTGGTTAATAATAGAGACATGAGAAAAAAAATGAGGGAAGAAAATAACTAACAAGCAGCCAACCAATATTTCATTTAAACCTGTAAATAGATGTGATGTGATACTGATAAGAGCTTATATTTTGTGTATTTAAAGTAGAGAGTTCTATAAATGTTAATTAAATCTACTTGTTCCGGATCTGAGTTCAAGTCCTGGATATCGTTGTTAACTTTCTGTGTCATTGATCTGTCTAATATTGATGTTGCAGTCTCCTACTATTATTGTGTGGGAGTCTAAGTCTCTTTATAAGTCTTATATATCTGGGTATTCCTGTATTGGGTGCGTATATATTTAGGATCTTTAGCTCTTCTTGTTACATTGATCCTTTTATCATTATGTAATATCCTTCTTTGCTTCTTTTGATCTTTATTACTTTAAAGTCTATTTTATCAGCAAAAATTGCAACTCTCGCTTTCTATTTATTTATTTATTTTTGCTCTCGATTTGGTTGGTAAATCTATCTCCATCCCTTTGAGTCTTTGTGTATCCTTGCATGTGAGATGGGTCTGGATGCAGCATACCAATGGGTCTTGGCTTTTTTTTTTACCTGTCTGTGTCTTTGGATTGGGGGATTTAGTCGATTTAACTTTAGAACTAATAATAATATATGTGAGTTTAATACTGCCATTTAATGTTAGCTGGCTGTTTTGCCCATTAGTTGATGTAAATTCTTGATTATGTTGATGCTTTTTATTTTTTGGTATTTTTTAGAAAGGCTGATACTGGTTGTTCCTTTCTATGTGTAGTGGTTCTTTCAGAAGCTCTTATAAACCAGGCCTGGTGGTGATGAAATCTCTGAGTGCTTGCTTGTTCACAAAAGATTTTATTTTTCCTTCGCTTATGAAGCTTAGTTTGGCTGGATGCAAAATTCTGGGTTGAAAGTTCTTTTCATTAAGGATGTTGAATATTGGCCCCCACTCTCTTCTGGCTTGTAGGGTTTCTGCTGAGAGATCTGCTGTGAGCCTGATAGGCTTCCCTTTATGGGTAACCTGACCTTTCTCTCTGACTGCCCTCAGTATTTTCTCTCTCATTTCAACCCTGGTGAATCTGGCGATTATGTGCCTTGAGGTTGGTCTTCTTGAGGAATATCTTTGTGGTGTTCTCTGTATTACCTGGAGTTGAGTATTGTCCTGCCTTGCTAGGTTGGGAAAGTTTTCCTGAATAATATCCTGAAGCGTATTTTCCAGCTTGGATTGATTCTCTTCATCACATTCAGGTACACCTATCAAGTGTAGATTAGGTCTTTTCACATAGTCCCATATTTCTTGGAGACTTTGCTCGTTCCTTTTTATCCTTTTTTCGCTAATCTTGTCTTCTCGTTTTACTTCATTAAGTTGGTCTTCGACTTCTGATATCTTTTCTTCTGCTTGATCAATTCGGCTGTTAAAACTTGTGCGTACTTCGCAAAGTTCTTGTGTTGTGTTTTTCAGCTCCATTAATTCACTTATATTCCTCTCTAAACTGTGTGTTATTGTTAACATTTCGTCAAACCTTTTTTCAAGGTTCTTAGTTTCTTTGCATTGGTTAGAACAAGTTCTTTTAATTCCCAGAAGTTTCTTATCATCCACCTTTTAAAGCCTGCTTCTGTTAATGGAACACACTCGTTCTCCATCAGGCCTTGTTCCGTTGCTGATGAGGAACTGTGATGCCCTGTAGAGGGAGAGGCGTTCTGATTTTGGGTATTCTCAGCCTTTTTAGGCTGGTTTCTTCCCTTCGTTATAGATTTATCCATCTGTGGTCTTCATAATTACTGTCTTTATAGTTGGGTTTCTGAGTGGACGTCGAACTTGTTGATTCCTGGTGCTAAAATCTGAGCAACCCACTGCGCCAGCCAAAACAGCGGCGTTATGATTGATGGTGCTTTTCTGACTCTGCACCAAGAACCGCACACCAAGGCAGAGGCAAAACTGCCTCGCCAGCCACAAGAGTCACGCTGGCGACCCGTGGGGCTCCTCCGCTGGGAATGTCCTGGTGCAGGAGCAACAAAAATTCGTCTGAAAGTGTGGCATCCTCTCGTTCACTGTGCTTTCACTGGAAGCTACAATCCTGAGCTGCTAGTGATCAGCCATCTTCTCTATTTTAAAAAAAAGTAATAATACCTAAAAAAAAAATCTTATTACCTTTTTTTTTTTTTCTTTGGAGATGGAGTGTTGCTCTGTCACCCAGCCTGGAGTGCAGTGGCGTGATCTCAGCTCACTGTAACCTCCACCTCCTGGGTTTCAAGCGATTCTCCTGCCTCAACCTCCCAAGTAGCTGGGATTACAAGCACGTGCCACCACACCCGGCTAATTTTTGTATTTTTGGTAGAGATGGGATTTCACCATATTGGTCAGGCTGGTTTCAAACTCCTGACCTCAGGTGATCTGCCTACCTTGGCCTTCCAAAGTGCTGGGATTATAGGTGTGAGCCACCAGACCTGGCCCCTTATTAATTTTAATCAATTTTTAAATTGACCTATTACAGTATAATTTACATATAATAAAATACGCACACTTAAATGAAAAGTTTGATGAGTACCCATGAAACCACCATCACTGCCAAGACACAGATCATTCCCATCAACCCAAAAGATCCCTCGTACCCCTCTGCAGCCACGGTGCCCCTTTACCTTGGCTCCAGGCAACCACTACTCCACCTTTTGTCAAGATATCTCACTCACTTATTTTTTTTTCTTTTGAGATAAGTCCCACTCTGTTGCCCAGGCTGGATTGCAATGATGCAATCTTGGCTCCCAGCAACCTCCGCCTCCCAAGTTCAAGTGATTCTCCTGCCTCAGCCTCTATAGGCGTGCGCACTATGCCTGGCTAATTTTTGTATTTTTAGTAAGGTGGGGTTTCCCCATGTTGACCAGGCTGGCCTCAAACTCCTGAGAGGACAGAACTCCTCAAACACAGAGAAGAAGGTTTCTTACACCTCTTCAACATCTCCCATGAGTGCCCTGCACACAGACAGCAAGTGGTGAGTGAGGAGGACCAGGCGGTTCTCTGCTGAGGGGAGGCTCAGGTGATCCACCTGCCTCAGCTTCCCAAAGTGCTGGGGACTACAGGCATAAGCCGCCATGTCCAGCCCTCATTCACTTGTTAAATTAAAAAAAAAATTAACTCTATATTTGGAAATTTTTCAAACATATGCACAGCAGAACAGTAGGATGAGGCTAGTTTATCCAACACCCAGCTTCAACAATGTTTAATGCATAACCAATCCTGTGTCAGCGATTCTCCCACCTACTCCCTTGCCTGGGTTATTCTGAAGCAAATCACAGACAGCATTTCTTTTCATATGTAACTATTTAATGTATATGTCTGTTTAAAGGGTATTTTTTTAAAATGTATCCACAATTTTCACACTTAACAGCAAATTTTTAAAATTTAATTATTTATTGTCAATATTCAATATAAAATAAATTTGCCTTTTTTTGTTTTATAAAATAAATTTCTTAATTCTATTAACACTGTCAAATAATCAGTGTCCACATTTCCCAGACTGCCTTACATTTTCTTCATTTCGTCTGAATCAATCATATATGACTATTGGTCATTCATCTTTTCAATCTCTTTTTATCTATAGGGGCTTTTTTCTCACCTTTCCCCTTATGATTTATTTGTTGAAAAAACTGGTCTGTTTATCCTATAATGCTGTTCGGAATTTGCGGATTCTATTCCCAAAAAGCCATTTACAATGTTTCTCCATCCCTCTTATTTCCTATAAATACGCAGTAAGATCTAGATGTTTTATGTAACTCGGGATGTACTTCAGCAGCAAGGCTGCTTTATAGGTAGTAGCGCACACACATACATACCAGGAGATACATATAATGTCCCATATTCCTTTTCCTGTCTCACTTTTTGAAAAATACCATCTTTTTCCTCAAGTAACTAAAAATAAAAGCACTTACTGTATAATATTAGGATCATTTAATCTAGAAAAGTGTCACAGGATATCAACCCCCATTTTTGGACTATGCTGTTCCTATGAAGAGACAAGCAGTCCTTGAGTCGCTGTCTGAAATACATCATGGTTCTGCCCACCATCCTATGCCTGTCACTTTAAGTTATACACTGAACGTACCCTGATGCACTCGTCGTTTTGGGCATGTTCTAGTCCCCAATTACACAGAGAAGCCTTTTTACTACACCCCTTCAACATTACCCATAAGCGTCTTGCACACAGACAGCACGCGTTGAGTGAGGAGGACCAGGCGGTTCTCTGCTCTCCACTGAGGGAAGGCCCTTGATGCAGTCGGGCCCATGGGTTCTTCTCCACTCACTCTCCTTCACAGCCAGGATCTTTTCCACTTTCCCAACCGGAAAACAAGGGCACAGAGAAGAAACAGGAAGAGTGAAGCAGGGGAAGGTTGCACTGAGAACTCAAAATTCACTGGGGGTTCAGAAAACCTGTTGACTTTTTTTTTTTTGTTTGAGACGGAGTTTCGCTCTTGTTACCCAGGGTGGAGTGCAATGGCGTGATCTCGGCTCACCGCAACCTCCGCCTCCCGGGTTCAGGCAATTCTCCTGCCCCAGCCTCCTGAGTAGCTGGGATTACAGGCACGCGCCACCATGCCCAGCTAATTTTTTGTATTTTTAGTAGAGACGGGGTTTCACCATGTTGACCAGGATGGTCTCGATCTCTTGACCTCGTGATCCGCCCGCCTCGGCCTCCCACAGTGCTGGGATTACAGGCTTGAGCCACCGCGCCCGGCCAACCTGTTGACTTAAGTGTGTTTCTACTTTAATGACTCCTCCTTCCCTTCGGGGAGACATGTGAGTCTAAACACTCAGTCTTTGAGAGAAGGGACTACAGGCATTGTGTAGACAGGAACCAGAGGGCCTGGTCAAGTGATCTTCCTGTTCTCCTTGTCAGGACAAGTCCCTGCTTGACAGATAAATAATTACTAAGAAAACAAGAATCAGTTAAAGAGGAAGAATCTGTGATAGGCTTGGGATGAGAAAGAAAAGAAAGTTATTTGCATCCTAAGGCCACTGCAGGCCTGTAAAGAGGAGGCATGCAGGGAAGTCAGTCATCCACAGAGAAGGCCTCCTCTTCTTCCCACTTTGATAAAACGTTCCTCCACCTGCAGCAGTGTTGCACTAATAGCAGCCACAAGACCCTTGCTGCCAGTCACCTCCCACTCTTCTCTCTGCTTGGCTGGCTCTTTACAACCTCCAGAAATAAAAGCTAGAATATCATACTTATTATGCTAATAATCATTCCCTGGTAAACATAAGTTCCAGAAGCACAAGCCTCTGCTTACAGACAGCATAACTGCCAATGCACTTCTTCCTCATCCCCGCCCCCACCCAGGACAAGTACAGATTAAATTAAGAATTCTCAAAATTCCCAATGGTGTCAAAAGCATTTAAAGTTGCTGGGTCAAAGATTCATTTTTGCAGCAGACAACCACAAAGGATTTCAGTGTTACATACAGTGGAAATGATTGCAAGAAATTCTAAATATGGAGAGACCAGTAATTTAAATTCTTTTTCTAATGGCTAATACTTTTTTTTTTCCAGTTCAATAGCTGATTCTAAGTCAGGCTCCGATTAAGGAAAACAAGACCCAGTTTTCTGGTTCCACTGGGATTTACTTGTTCAGGGATTACCTGCCAGTTGTGAACCTGGCTGTGACTAATACAAGCATGTTTCAGAACAAAGAAACACCCTGATTACTGGAAGTCAAGAGCAAAGTAAAGTCCCAAACAAGGAACTCTGACTTTCCGTCTGGTGTGTTATCCAGCAGGCCACTGCCTCTGTCTCTAACCAGAAATTACTGTATACAACTATGAAGCCACTGGTGATAGAAATCAGAAAATAGAGCACGAGAGCAAAATCCCACAAGTAACGTCAAACACTACTAACACATAAAGTGGACTACTGAAGCAAATACCTGAAAAATAAGTATGAAAGTTGCCCAAATTTTTTTTTTTTTTTTTTTTTGAGACGGAGTTTCGCTCTTGTTACCCAGGCTGGAGTGCAATGGCGCGATCTCGGCTCACCGCAACCTCCGTCTCCTGGGTTCAGGCAATTCTCCTGCCTCAGCCTCCTGAGTAGCTGGGATTACAGGCACGTGCCACCATGCCCAGCTAATTTTTTGTATTTTTAGTAGAGACGGGGTTTCACCATGTTGACCAGGATGGTCTCGATCTCTTGACCTTGTGATCCACCCGCCTCGGCCTCCCAAAGTGCTGGGATTACAGGCTTGAGCCACCGCGCCCGGCCTCCAAATTTTTTTTGAGGCAGAGTCTTGCTCTGTCACTCAGGCTGCAGTGCAGTGGTATAATCTCAGCTCATTTGCACCTTCGCTCCTTGGGTTCAAGCAATTCTCCTGCCTCAGCCTCCCGAGTACCTAGGATTACAGGCATGCACCACCATGCATGACTAATTTTTGTATTTTTAGTAGAGATGAGTTTTCACCATGCTGGCCAGGCTAGTCTCAAACTCCTGACATCAAGTGATATGCCCGCCCTGGCCTCCCAAAGTGCTGGGATTACAGGCATGAGCCACCATGATGGGCCTGCCTAGATAGTTTAAACAGGACTAATTATCTTCAGTTACTTGAATACCTAATGTATCCCAGTTTTCTACTTTGTTTTACCTACAAAGGCACAGTTAGACACTGGTTAGAGTAAGACTAGAGGCAAAAGACACCCATGGTAACTCTGTTTGAATCTGTGAGTAACGTATATTTTCATACACTTTGAATTATGTAACGTGACTTCGCTGTCTGACCCTGGAAAATCACTCTGCATCCAGAGCATCTTCAAAATAGAGGATGAAATAAAATTACTTCTAAGATCCTTTTGGCTTATTTGGTTTATATTTTCTTTACTATGGGATCAAATTCCATTAAACATCAAGCTAATGGCTCAAAATATTTCAAATACTAGAACTTCATTGCAGCAAATCATGCTAAAAATAGAAATTTAATTGCAATAAGATTTGATGTATGCATTAGTTACATGCTACAGTATTTTAATTTTTTATTTCCATAGGTTTTTGGGGAACAGGTGATGCTTGGTTACATCAAGGTCTTTAGCGATGATTTCTGAGATTTTGGTGTACCTATCACCCGAGTAGTATATACTGTACCCAAATTGTAGTCTTTTATCCCTCACCCACCTCCCATCCCTTCCCCTGTCAATGAAGAGTAATATTTTGAAAGGAATCTTTTCTTCTGAGCAGGTCTCAAGAGTGAGCTTAGAATATTCAGTAAATCATGCTCTAAACAGATATGCTGTCATCCAGGCTTTTTTATTCCATTTATAGAGCACAGGCAGAGTAGACTGAGCATAATTTTTAAGGGCTCTAGGACTCTTAGAATGGTCAATGAGCATTGGCTTCAACTTAAAGTCACCAGCTGCATTCATTCACCACTAACAAGAGAGTCAGCCTGTCCTTTGAAGTTTTGAAGCCAGACACTGACTTCTCCTCTTTAGCTATAAAGGTCCTAAATGGGACCTTCTTCCAACACTGTTTCATCTCCATTGAAAATCTGTTGTTTAGTGTAGCCACCTTCATTCCATCATCTAGCTACCACAGCTAGATCTTCTGGATAACTTGCTACAGCTTCTGCATCAGCACTTGCTACTTCACCTTGCATTTTTATGTTGCTTTTTTCCTTAAAACTCATGAATCAACCTCTGCTAGCTTCAAACTTTGAAAAGCATTTTTCAAAGTTTTTTCTCTTCAAACACTGCAGCCTTCTCTGAGCCTTCATAAAATTGAAGAGAGTCAGGATCTTGCATTGAATCAAGCTTTGGCTTAAGGGAATGTCGTGGCTGGTTTGATCTTCTATTCAGATCACTGAAACTTTCTCCACATCAGCAATAAGGCTGTTTTGCTTTCTTAGCATTCCGACATTCACTGGAGTAGCACTTTTAATTTCCTTTAGGAACTTCTCTTTTACATTCACAACTTGGTTAACTGTTGCAAGAGGGCTGGCTTTTGGCTTGTCTTGGCTTTCAATCTTCCTTCCTTACTAAGCTTAATCATTCCTAGTTTTTGATTTAAAGGGAGACACATGTAACTCTTCCTTTCACTTGAACATTTAAAAGCCATTATAGGTTTATTAATTGGTCCAATTTCAATATTATATCTCATGAAGTAGGGGAGACCTGAGGAGAGGAAGAAAGATGTGGGAACGGCCGGTTGGTGGAGGAATCAGAGCACACACGAACATTATCAATTAAGTTTACCGTCTCATACGGATACTTAATTGCTTGGGGTTCATGGCATCCCAAGCAATAACAATAGCAGCATCAAAGATCACTGATCACTATAACCAATATGATAATAAAAAAATTTGAAATACTGCATGAATTACCAAAATATGACACAGAGATACAAAGCGTGCACACGCTGTTGGAAAAGTGGTGCTGACAGACTTACTTGATGTAGGGTTGCCACAAATCTTCAATCTGTAAAAAATGCAGCATCTGTGAAGCACAATAAAGTAAAGCATAATAAAATGAGGAGGTAGGACCTGTACACAGTGGGAAGCAGAGAGAGGTGGGCATGGGTCCTATGGAAGCACAGAGCTGGGGCGAGGGGGACTTCATGAAGACATCCCCTGAACTGGGCTCTGAAGGATAAGTAAGTTAGGAGAATAAAAGTAAGGAGTTTCAGCAGACAGAGCTGGCGGGGGGGAAAAAAAAAGCATTCACAGACATAGTTTTCACAGTTATAGTAGATTAAATACCTATTAGTACCAAAAGGTTTTTTGTTTTGTTTTGTTTTTGTTTTTTGACAGAGTCTCGCTCTGTTGCCCAGGCTGGAGTGCAATGGCACGATCTTGGCTCATTGCAACCTCCAACTCCCAGGTTCAAGCAATTCTCCTGCCTCAGCCTCCTGAATAGCTGGGATTATAGGAATCTGCCACCACGCCTGGCTAATTTTTGTATTTTTAGTAGAGATGGGGTTTCACCATGTTAGTCAGGTTGGTCTCGAATTCCTGACCTTGTAATTCGCCCACCTCAGCCTCCCAAAGTGCTGGGATTACAGGCACATTTTCAGACGAGCTAACAAAGGCACATAGCATTTAGATAAGCTGCTCAAGGTCTTCTGGGCAGAACGCGACAGAACAAGGATTCATGCCCAGGTCACTCCTCCCACCGTACAGCACTGTCTCTACTGAGCTGAAGGCTGTCTAGAGATGTTCTAGTGTACTCACCAAACAATCCCACCATTTAGAGACCTGCAAGGAGGTTACAGGACAGTTCTGATGTCCTTCAGCTAACAGCATACCAGGAGTGGATCCCATATTTCCTATTCTCCAGAAAAGCATGTTCTGTAATCATTCTGACTCATACCAGATACCCTCTTTTTGAGAGATATTAAAATATTCCCCTAATTCAATTCAAAACGGACACAACAAGAATGAGGCAAATGCCTGTGCCTCTGCACTGAGATGTGCCTGAATTATGCTTTCGTGGGAGATAGGAAAAGAGATGTCTCAAATATATCCTGCGTACTACTTGCTACCAGCTAACAGAAGATAACAGGATTTCATGCATTCCTTTTGACTATCATCATTTTTTCAGCCTCCTGCCTCTCAGTAGGGCAGTTAAAGCATTAAAACTGGAGTCAGCAAGCTTTCTCTGTAAAGGGCCTAAATATTTCAGGCCTTGCATTCCATAAGGTCTCTGATGCAACTGTTCAATTCTACCACTGTAGGGAGAACAGCCACAGAGCATACACAAACGAATGAGCATGGCTGTGTTCCAATGAGGTTTATAGACAGAAATTTGAATTTCATATAATTTTCACATGTCATGAAATATTATTATTATTCTGATGTTTTTCAGCTGTAGTACTTAGAAAGGTATATCTTATGGGCTACACAAAAACAGGTGGTAGGCCCCAGAGTCTGGTGATCCTGCATTAAACCAAAAAAGTATTAACACTACCAGTCAGAAGAGAGCAGAGGACAAGCAGGGAGCAGGTGGCCTCTCCCTCATCCATTCTGGTGCCACTGGTTCAGGATGCCTTCTTGGGCCACCCCCCACTCCCACTCAGCTCAGGCCTCCCACTTCTATGTTGAGCCTCCCTGACACTTGAGCCTACCTCTATCTTAGCACTTACCATACATAACATGTTGTAGTTGATTATTCAATTATCTGTATCTCCCCAATCAGGAGAGCAAGCAACATTTTTGTTTTTTAGTTTCTGTATTCCTAGCTGACACAGATGCTCTAAAAAATATCTGGGAAGGGAGAGAAGGAAATAATGAGAAAATAAGCTCAGAATATATATATTTTTTTCTTTTTTTTTTTTTTTCATAGAGATGGGGTTTCACCATGTTGGCCCAAGCCCAGGCTGGTCTCAAACTCCTGAGCTCAGGTGATTGGCCCACCTCAGCCTCCCAAAGTGCTGGGATTACAGGTGTGAGCTACTGTGCCTGGCCTGAAAATATCCTTTTTATTTTTATTTTTTCAGAGACAAGGTCTCACTCTATCATTCAGGCAGGAATACAATGGTACAGTCAAGGCTCACTGCAGCCTTGACTTTCCAGGCTCAAGTGATCTTCCCACCTCAGCCTCCCAAGGAGCTGGGACTACCAGCGCACACAACCACACCTGGCTGAATTTTCATTTTTTGCAGAGACAAGGTCTCCTTATTTTGCTCAGGCTGGTCTTGAACTCCAGGGCTCAAGCAATCCTACCACCTCAGACTCCCAAAGTACTGTGATCGTAGGCGTTACCCATAGCACCCAGCACCTGGCTAGAAATTATCTTTAAACAGACACTAGGGAGAGGCTCAAGGTCTTGATAGTGGCTCAATGACATACACATAAAACAGGTTAAATCAGTGGTTCACCTGTGTTTAGCATCTGTTAACAATCTATGCTGTTTATGTTCCATAAGTATGCACCAACCCCTTAGTCTATTCTCTTTACTTCTACCTCCTTCAAAGCCAGGCATCTGATTACTTGTTTAGGCTAACACAGATGAGAATAATCCAAACTTAAGTTTAAAATGACCCCACATGTGCCAAAAAAGCTTCAGAGTACCCTGGGGTTCTGCGGAACCTAAATGGAAAAAACATCCTACAAACACTAGTCTCAACAGTGAATGACAGCTTCAAATGATTTAAAGCCACAATTACCAGACATAATAGGGAGGTACGTGGAAAGTCATCATTATCACATAAAGCATCAAAGAGGAAACAACATCTTTTAATCACAAGTTGAGGGCTGGTCTTCTAACTCTAATGCAGGGTCCTTAACCTTTCCTTTCCTTTTTTTTTTTTTTTTTGAGATAGGGTTTCCCTCTTGTTGCACAGGTTGGAGTATGATCTCTGCTCCCTGCAACCTGCCCCTCTGGGATTCAAGCAATTCTCCTGCTTCAGCCTCCCGAGTCTCGGGGATTACAGGCACCTGCCACCATGCCTGACTAATTTTTATATTTTTAGTAGAAACAGGATTTTACCATGTTGACCAGGTTGGCTTCAAACTCCTGACCTCAGGTGATCCACCCACCTCGGCCTCCCTAAGCGCTGGGATTACAGGTGTGAGCCACTGCACCCAGCCTCCTTAACCTTTTCAATGCCAGGATCCCTTTGGCGTTCTGGAGAAGTCAGAGGACCCCTTCTCAGAGCAATGCTTTTAATGCAAAAATAATACATATAGTTTTCAAAAAGAAACAATTTATAATAATAATTAAGCCACAGTACTACTCCTGACACTTCCTGTCTTCTTCCTCTGTTTATTTTTTTTCTGCCCAGCATTTGTCCCCACCGAATACACTATATAATGCCCTTTGTGTTATCTTACTTAGTATATGTCTCCCCAACTAGAATCTAGGTTTTTTTTTCCAAGATGGAGTCTCTCTCTGTCACCAAGGCTAGAGTGCAGTGGTGCAATCTCAGCTCACTATAACCTCTGCCTTCCAGGCTCAAGTGATCCTCTCACCTCAGTCTTATGAATAGCTGGGACCACAGATACTCACCACCATGCTAATATTTTGTATTTTTGGTAGAGATGGGATTTCACCATATTGCCCAGGCTAGTCTCCAACTTCTGAGCTCAAGTAATCTTCCTGCCTCAGCCTCCCAAAGTGCTGGGATTACAGACATGAGCCACTGTGCCCAGCTAGAATATAAATTCTATGAAGGCAGAGATGTTCATCTATTTTGTTCACCACTCTATTTCCAAAAACCTAGAAAACGCCTGATATAGAATAGATGCTCAGTAAGTATTTGGAACTATTAAATGAACTTTATGTCTCATAAAAGCTGTTTTCTAACATTAATCAAAGGCAGTTCTTCTAGGTTCTGACAATCTTAGGAAAGATAATATGCAATACTTCATATTTACAAACAACTTTTGGGGGGCACTGGAACCCTTCTGTAGACAGTCTCATTGACCTACAGTAGACCTAATATCTAATGACCAAGGGCAAAGCAGCAACATGAGATGAGCAGTCAAATGCTTTCAGGTCAGTGAACAAAATCCATGACACAGGCCCCTGCTTATTCGCTCTGCCCTTTGCCCCTGGAGCTTTAGCTGTGTTACCTTAGAGGACAGTCTCTCCCTCACTGAAGATATCTGACTTCACATTAACAATAGGAAGGTTTCACTGGACCTAAGCAGACTCATTCATAACAAATGGTTACACATTCCTTTGCAACAAGGTTCTAGGATTTCCAACTTCTTGCCAAGGCAATTCTTAAACAGAGGAAATGGTTTTCTTTTCAAATTCATCTTAATTACAATACATTAAAAGGTTAACAAGAATCTAAAACTCTCAGATATGGCAGCCGCCTATATTATTTGTCTAGGAGGAAGAAAGCTTAAAGTCAAGAAAACTGAAACCGCCAGAGAACATAATAATCTCTATCAACTGCAATGCCTTTGTGCTCTAAGCATACTTGCAACAAATTGGAAAGGAAAACCAGAAACCAAAAAATGAAAGGGGAGGAGGGAAGGTGAGGTTAATACCGAGGTCAGTTAATACGAAAGAAAACAGGGTCTCAGGCTGTTTCATAACTAAGCACGCAAGCAAAATCTAACAAGAAGGCAATTTTGGTCTTTCTTGGGTAGCTAAGACAAATGTCAGCCTGCTCTCCAGTCTCACTATTTGCTGAAAAGCAGAGCTGAAGAAATGTATTTGCCTCATGTGGGTTTTTGAAAGATTCAAATCTGTCTACTTAAAATATAACTAATTCTGCTTAAACATCAAACTTTTCCATATTTGCACATCTTCATATACAGGGCAAGGAGATGTGAAGAGAGGTTTCTTGTTTGTTTTAAATATTTTGAGTGCTAATAAACCATCAACAGCTGGCCACCAGTAGTGGCTAGTAGAAAGTTCCACAGAAATTAGTGTATTAGCAGGATTTCAAATTGAAAAAGGGAGAGAGAAAAAACATTTTTGACAAATGCCTGGCTTCAGCTCCATGGGAAAATATTAACCTAAAGCACCCATTATAACCAACTGCTGATTTCATGTTACAACCAAAGGTCACTGTTCTAGTTCTTTTTGTTGTTGTTGAGATGGGGTCTCACTGTTACCCAGGCTGGAGTGCAATGGCACAATCACAGCCCACTGAAGCCCTGACCTCCCAGGCTCAGTCAATCTTCCCACCACAGCCTCCCAAGTAGCTGGAGCCACAGCCATGAGCCATCATGCCTGGATAATTTTTTTTTTTTTTTTTTTTTTTTTTTTGGAGAGATGGGGTCTCCCTATGTTGCCCAGGCTAGTCTCTAACTCCTGGGGGCAAGGGATCCTCCCACCTTGCTCGGATTACAGGTGTGAGTCACCAAGCCTGGCCCAGGGTTCTAGTTCTAATCCTTATAGATGTATGCTTCTTTTGAACTAATGGGGTATAAAAATCGTAAGAAAATTATGTAACCACTTACAGTGCTTTTGGTTTATAATCACACCTAAAGAGAAAGCCCTGGAGACACAATGCTAATGAAGCCCACAGTCACAGAGAACTTAACTCACTTTCAACTCTTTCTTCTGAAACAAGGTTTTCAGTGTATTTCTTTTTTTTTTTTTTTTTTTTTTGAGACAGAGTCTCGTTCTGTCGCCAGGCGCCAGGCTGGAGTGCAGTGGCGCAATCTTGGCTCACTGCAACCTCTACCTCCTGGGTTCAAGCAATTCTCCGGCCTCAGCCTCCCGAGTAGTTGGGACTACAGGTGTGTGCCACCACAACCGGCTAATTTTTGTATTTTTAGTAGAGATGGGGTTTCACCATGTTGGCCAGGATGGCCTCGATCTCTTGACCTCGTGATCCGCCTGCCTCAGCCTCCCAAAGTGCTGGCAGTGTAGTTCTAACATTACAGTATCAGTGAGGCACTTCCCACTCTAATAAGCTTTTTAAAAGGTAGAAATATATAACTTAGAAAGACCCTAAAAACACAAAATATTTGCATTTTCTAAATTTATTTTTTGACTGTTAGAGAGAAAATTAGAAATAAATGTCCATTTAGTGGGATTAGTTAAATAAAATGTGTTTTCTCCATTCTGCGGCATACTAAGCAGCCATTAAAAAGTATGAGATAGACCTGAAAGTACAAAAACAGAAATATCCCCAAGATACATTCTTACAAGCTGAACAACTCACAGTGATTCTGCTTACGTAAACAATGTCTGTGTATCTGTACATACATCCTATATCAATGTTTAGGAAAAGGTCTGGAAGAATGTGTGCTGAATTCTTAATAGTATTTTTGTCTGGGGAGGTGGGAAGATGCAAGAGAGCTTCAGTGGCACTTTCACATCATACCCTATGTGTTGCTTAAGTACTTTTTGAGGCTGTGGTCATATACTGCTTGTAAAATAAAGTATTAATAAAGGAATAAAGGACTGGGTGATTCTGTGAACTAAAGGGAGGAAAAATAAGAGATGAAAATTAGGCTTGATACTAAATAAAGTGTATTAATGTCAGAGCAAGAGTTTGATCATGAGATGGTCAACTGTTTACCACATCTCAACACAACTTTCAGTTCAGCTACTGTATTAACAGGAACAGGAGGGATCCTAAACATAAAGAATATGATTTCTGAAGAGGAAGTCTGATCAAAGTTCACAAGTCATCATACCTAAAGGAACTGAGAGTTTAAAACATACACTTATGTCTTCCTGTCAAACTACATGTGCTGCAAAAAAAATTTTTTGAGATGCAGTTTCACTCTCGTTGCCCAAGCTGGAGTGCAATGGCGCGATCTCAGCTCACCGCAACCTCCACCTCCCAGGTTCAAGGGATTCTCCTGCCTCCGCCTCCCAAGTAGCTAGTAATACAGGCGCGAGTCACCACGCCCTGCTAATTTTATATTTTCAGTAGAGATGAGGTCTCTCCATGTTGGTCAGGCTGGTCTCAAACTCTCAACCTCAGGTGATCTGCCCACCTCAGCCTCCCAAAGTGCTGAGATTACAGGTGTGAGCCACCGCGCCAGGCCACATTTTAATTTTCTTGCTTGTTATGTTGTAAAAGTGTCATATTTCTGTTGGAGGTACTTAGTCTTTGATGCTGAAACCCAACTTGACTTGATGGTAAGTAAGTTTCAATAGCAAATCTGAAGATAACCAATAACCCTGCGGTTAGAAAGATATTTTTGCCAGCTGGGCACGGTGACTCAGGCCTGTAATCCCAGAGCTTTCGGAGGCTGAGGTGGGCAGATCACAAGGTCAGGAGTTCAAGACCAGCCTGGCCAAAATGGTGAAACCCAGTCTCTACTAAAAGTACAAAAGTTAGCCAGGCGTGGTGGTGATCGCCTGTAATCCCAGCTACTCAGGAGGCTGAGGCAGGAGAATTGCTTGAACCCAGGAGTCGGAGGTTGTAGTGAACCAAGATCACCACTGTACTGCAGCCTGGGTGACAAAGCAAGATTCCATCTCAAAAAAAAAAAAAAAGATGTTTGGCCAACTAGTGATTGAGGACAAGAGACCCAAAGGATGTTGGAACTGATTCAGAAACAGGAATGCAAGTACGTCTAGGATGAGTCAGCAGGTAGCTTGGAGACCTTGAAATTAAAAGGAAAATCGCCAGGCACAGTGGCTCACTCCTGTAATCCCAACACTTTGGGAGGCTGAGGCAGGGGGATCGCGAGGTCAGGGGTTGAAGATCAGCCTGGCCAACATGTTGAAATGTTGTCTCTACTAAAAATACAAAAATTACCCAGGTGTGGTGGCACGTGCCTGTAAAATCCCAGCTACTTGGGAGGTGGAGGTTGCAGTGAGCCTAGAGTGTGCAACTGCACTCCAGCCTTGGCGACAGAGCAAGACTCCATCTCAAAAAAAAAAAAAAAGGGAAAAAAAGTAATCTGCCTGAGAAGTGGGTAGGTGAACAAAAGAAATCCAAAGTACATTTAAATGTCCAACACCAGTTCAACTTTGAGAAATTGTTTATATACAATAAAGTGGATGGATTTAATTGTACATTTCGTTACATTCTGACAAATTTATACCTGTGTAATCACCACCATATTTAAAACACAGAACAGTTCCATAACCCTAAAAGCTTTGTGTTCTATCCCAGTCTATCCTCTCCCATTCTGGGCTCTGGTTAGCTACTTTTACTACAGATTAAATGTCTTTTCTAAAATTGCATAAAAATGGAATCCTAAGTATGTGCTCTTCTGTGTACGGCTTCCTTTCATGCAGCATAATGCTTTCAAGATTCCTCCACATTGCACCATGTATCAGTATTCATTCCTTTTTTGGCCAAATCATAGCCACAGCTTTTTCATTCATGTGTTGATGGGCATTTGGGTTCTTTCCAGCTTTTGTTATTACGAACAAATCTGCTATGAATAAGCAAGGCACCAGAGGCTTTTGATAACTTTCATTTCCTCATTCAGCATTGCCCATGTACTCTCATTTCACCACAACTAGACCCCTGGCACTGGCCCATGCACAATGGGAAAAGCAGTCACTTATTCAACAAATATATATGAAGGGTCTACTGGATGTCATGAACTGTTCAGGCACTGAGAACTCAGTCACAAAGAGACAGATATAACCCCTCTCCTGTAAAATACATGAACAAAATCATGTCAGATAAGGTATGTTATAGAAAAAAAAGTTTAAAGTAAAATATTAAGAAAGTGACTAAAGGCATGTGACTAACTGGGAAGTCAGCAAAGACCTATCCAAGCTGAGTGAGACCTGAATGACACCAAGGGGACAGCCATGTAACTTTGTGAGATCCAAGCATTCCAAAGAACTGCAAGCGTAAAGGTTCTAAGGAGACTGAGTCTCTCCTATCCAAGCAGAAGGCAGGCCATGTGGCAGGCATGCAGCAAACCGGGCAAAGTGGGGAAGAGACAGGCTGGAGAGCCAGCAGAGGCCAAGCCTAACACGATCTTGTAGGCCAGAAGTAGTCTGGGTTTTATTGGAGGGTAGTAAGCAGGTGAGTGCAACAATCAGATCTGCATTTCAAAGAGACCACTCTTCTCTACACAGCATTCTCCGGCTGTGTAGAGAAGAACTGCATAAGCAGTGAAACAGATCAGTCTGGTGGCTACTATGTGATGCAGGTAAGACAGGGCAGCGTGGACAACAGGAGAGCAAGGGAAACACGAGGGATGGGGAGGGTTCAGAATCAACAGCTCCTGCTGATGGACTAGATGAGGCAGGCTCACGTCTGTAATGCCAGCACTTTGGGAGGCCAAGGTGGGCGGATCACTTGAGATCAGGAGTTCTAGACCAGCCTGGTCAGCATGGCAAAGCCCCATCTCTACTAAAATACAAAAATTAGCTGGGCATGGTGGCACACACATGTAGTCCCAGGTACTCAGGAGACTGAGGGGGGAGGATCGCTTGAACCCAGGAGGCAGGGGCTGTAGTGAGCCGAGATCACATCACTGTACTCCAGCCTGGGCAACCAGAGTGAGACCCTGTCTCAAAAAAACAAAAAAAAAAAAAACTACAGAAAAGAGAAGGATCATAGAGAGTATCTATCAGGCTTTGAGGTTTTTGTGGAGTATGCTATGAAGACAAGACATGCCTATGAAGACAAGACATGCCATTAACATCAAGAGGCACTTAGCTAGGTGCAGTGGCAGGCACCTGTGGTCCCAGCTACTGAAGAAGCTGAGGCGGGAGGATCCCTTGAACCCAGGAGGGCAAGGCTGCAGTGAGCTATAATCGCACCTGTGAAAGCCGCTATACTCCAGCCTGGGTGACACAGTAAGAACCTGTCTATGTATTTAAAAAAATAAAAATTTTTTAAAAATCAGGAGGCATTTGGTAAGAGTGTTGGTAGTTCATCAAAGGGTCATGAAGCAATAAGGCACATAGTGAGTACTTTTTAATTATTTCAATTCCATGAATCATCAATGAAACTAAGGTCAGATACAGCTACTCCCTCAATCTCAATGCTTTGAGAGAAATCAATTATACTCTCATAAACATATCTGAGAACAGGCACCAGATCCGTTTAAAGTAAATGGCAACCAAGCCAAACTTAATTTAATGTTATGTGTATCCCGTTGAGGGAAAAAGAAACGTTGGCATACTATGTAAGGAATTCTCTGGAGCTGTAACTTATCAAATCACTTGTCCTGTTTATATCTTAGAACTTCACAAAATGCTGCATCAGTAGTTGTAATTTCATAAACAGAGTATTAATGCTGGCTGACAACCTCCCTTATCACTTATTAATTGCAAACAGTAGGCTCTAACGGAACAGCTTTCACTTAACACCAGGAATTGCCTTTGTAGAAAGCTAGGAGATGAGATAACTAAAGGTTCAACTCAAACTAAGAAATCAGAAAAAAATCAAAATCAATTTTCACTTCATAATCAACAGTAAACAGAAAAGTCACTGGCTGCTGAAACAACACAGCAGAACATCTGGAAGATAAAGACTGGGGAGAGAGGCTGGAGTAACTGTAGCAGAAGAACTAAAGCCAGGTGAAGACAAAGAAAAAGGGCTTAGGTTAGAGTGTGAAGGAACTACCTTCTTGTTACTATAAAGGTGGGTGATGATGATAATGATGGTGACGTGACTCATATACTGTTGTATGATAAACTATGCACACATTTCTTGACAGACCTGAAAGAACATATGCGACCTTCTCTTTTTCTTTTCTTTTTTGTTAAAATAGAGATGGGGTCTATGTTGCCTATGCTGGTCTTGAACTCTTTGGCTTTAGTGATCCACCTCAACCTCCCAAACTGCTGGGATCACATGCGTGAGCCAGCTCACCTGGCCATATGCAACCTTCTCAATGAAACTTTTCCTGACACATCCATCCATCACCAGGTACTCACCACCCTTCTCTGAAATTGGCTCTGTCTCCTCTACTGGTAAAGGGTACAGGCTATCCCCGGGCAGAAAACTTGGCACATAGTTTTGTCTTCAATAAGTGCTAGTTTAAAAAGTGAATGAAGGCCATAGATATTGTATGTGTCAGATATTGTATCTGAAGCACAAGGTTATTTGTTCCAGTCAAAGAGGTAATACTTGTTATGGACTGAATTGTAGCATCCTAAAATTCTTAGTTTTGTTTTGTTTTTAGAGACAGGGTCTTGCTGCTCTGTCATCTAGGCTGGAGTACAGTGGCACAAATATAGCTCATTGCAGCCTTGAATTTTTGGGCTCAAACAATCCTCCTGCCTCAGCCCCCAGTAGCTAGGACTACAGACACATCACCACATCCAGCTAATCCTTTCTTTCTTGTCTCTTTTTTTTCTTCTTTTCCTCTTTCACTCTTTTTTTCTCTCTCTTTTCTTTCTTTCTCTCTCCTCTCTTTCTTTTTGAGAAAAGGCCTCTGTCTGTCACCTAGGCTGGAGTGCACTGGCACAATCATGGCTCATTGCAGCCTCAATTACCCAGCCTCTAGTGATCCTCCCACTTCAGCCTCCCAAGAAGCTTGAACTACAGGTGCATACCACCCTGTCTGGCTAATTTTTTGGTTTTTTTTTGTAGAGATGAGATCTTACTACCCAGGCTGCCAGCTAATTTTTAAAAAACATTTTGTAGAGATGGGGGGAACCTGCTATGATGTCCACACTGTTTTCAAACTCCTGGCCTCAAGTGATCCTCCCACCTTGGCCTCTCAAAGCTCTGGGATTGCAGGTATGAGCCACTATACCTGGTCCCAAATTCCTACTTTGAAGCCCTAATCCCCAAAGTGACTGTATTTGGAGATAGTGCCCTAAAGATGTAATATGGTTAAATGAGGTCAGAAGAGTGGGAACCTAATCTGACAGGGCTGGTGTCCTTATTAAAGGAAGACACAAGGGCTTAGGTATGCTCTCTGTGCACACAGGAAAGGCCACATGAAGACACAGCTAGAATGCACCCGACTGCAGCCAAGAAGAAAGGCCTCACCAGAAACCAACCCCTGCTGGCATCTTGATCTTGGACTTCCAATCTCCAGAACTGTGAGAAAATGTTTGTTGTTTAAGTCATTCTGTGGCATTTTGTTATGGTGGCCCATGCAGACTAACACAACACTCAAACTAGAAAATGGGCCTTGTTGGGTTCTCTTGGCCTAGTTGGCACCTGTCATGATGTACAAAAGGGAGCCCCTTAGTAGCAGATGATGAGATGGTGCCACATGCAGGGCATCAAGGCAAGGTCAGGACTAGTCCTATGAAGCTGGAATTTGACTTCTCCTAAGTGGATAGATTAGGATGGGGCCTGCAAAATATGAGAGCAAGCTAGATATGGCAGATCCAAGAGTGAAACACGATTAAGCCAGACTGTTGTAATACTTGTTGCATTCTCTATGCTGGTTTCTCTACTGTTCTTAGTACTCAAAACATTTTCTTGAACTCTCCATCCTATCTCAGTTATGCTGAGGAAGAACCAAGAGATGATGCTTTTTCATCCTTGCTCATTAAAGGGGGAACAGAGCATCCCTGGCCAATGTGGTATAGTAGTAACAATCACATAAGTAAAAGAATTCCAAGCAGAAGGTGAAACTCAGTGTCCCAGCCATCTAATTCATTCAATAAACACTTACCAAACACATACTATGTGGTTGACCCAAATCTAACCACTGGAGATCAAACAGTGAACAAAATCAATAAAAATCATGGCTTTCAGACTGGGCGCGGTGGCTCAAGCCTGTAATCCCAGCACTTTGGGAGGCCGAGGTGGGTGGATCACGAGGTCAAGAGATCGAGACCATCCTGGTCAACATGGTGAAACCCCGTCTCTACTAAAAATACAAAATATCAGCTGGGCATGGTGGTGCGTGCCTGTAATCCCAGCTACTCAGGAGGCTGAGGCAGGAGAATTGCCTGAACCCAGGAGGCGGAGGTTGCGGTGAGCCGAGATCGCGCCATTGCACTCCAGCCTGGGTAACATGAGTGAAACCCCCCCTCCAAAAAAAAAAAAAAAAAAAAAAATCATGGCTTTCATGGAGCTTTCATTCTGGTTGGAAACAGGGAGACAGTAAACAATCAACATAGTATACAAGAAAAGGATATAGTGTGTTAGCAGCTGACAAGTGATATGGAGAAAGGGAAGCAGGAATAATGTGGGGGAAGGGGAGCACAGACAGGCCTCATTGGGATGGTGACACATGAGCAAACACTTTGAGAAGGAGTGAAAACGAACCATGAGTCTATCTGGCAGAGGCAGTGCAGAGACCAAGGCAGATCATAACTGACATTTTCAGGAAAGAGCAAAGAAGCCTCTGTGGCTGCAAGGGAGTGAACAGGGAGGAAGTAGTAGGTGGTCAACTGGTGGAGGGTGTTGTCCACAGGGAATCATTTCACATAGACTCATAAACCACTGAACAGTGTACGGGTTTCACTTTGAACGAAATGAGAACAGGTACTTCATCTTCCTATCTGCTAAACCTGGGAGGCAGTATTCCCTTAAGGAGTAAGCTTCTGAAAGGGTCAAATATTTTGTATTTTGTTTTATTTATTTTTTTTATTTTTTTGAGATGGAGTTTCTCTCATGTTACCCAGGCTGGAGTGCAATGGCGCGATCTTGGCTCACCGCAACCTCCGCCTCCTGGGTTCAGGCAATTCTCCTGCCTCAGCCTCCTGAGTAGCTGGGATTACAGGCACGTGCCACCATGCCCAGCTAATTTTTTGTATTTTTAGTAGAGACGGGGTTTCACCATGTTGACCAGGATGGTCTCGATCTCTTGACCTCGTGATCCACCCGCCTCGGCCTCCCAAAGTGCTGCGAT